CGCTGATTGGTTTGGTGTTATTGTTGGCAATAACTTAAATCTTCAAGCACGGCCGCTTCCTTATATGTCAGGGGGTTTGTGAAAATGTGATTCAATTGTTTTAGGCTTCGAGACACTCTTTAGTGGATAACAAATTAAGACAGCGCTGAGTTTTATTCAATCCATATACAATATCTGCTCAGTATTTTCAGTCGCTCTCTTTGTAGTTCATGCTAGGATACAGCACCAGGTCATTGGCGTCACACATCACACACACACACATCCAGGATAAATGTCTTTGTCGCTTTGATAAGTGACAAACACAAGTGGAAGACGTGGCTTGACACAAATGAGTAGTTGAGTAGGAGAAACCACCAAAGCGTGGCTGGATGTTGTGTTGTGGAAACAAAGGTTATCTGTCTCCATTATTACCATTCCTCTTCAACTCCGTCAATAGAAAATATTTGTCTTTTTTCGCTCAGTCTGTACGAACAGCCAATGACATTCGTCCGTTGCCCTCAGGCGGACGTTCTGTTTACATAGCACCAGATAGGTTTTATGAAGATGGAACAATGCTCTAATGTATTGTCGCTGTCAAATAAATCAATGATATAAAATAAATAACCACACGTCATGGTATGGGCTCTGCGGTGAGAACCACTGTACCGCGGTGGTAACAATTGGCAGGTGTATCTAATTGCCCTGGGGCTGCTACAGTGCAGTGCTATATTGGAGGGAAAACCAGTAATGGCTGTACTGGTGTCTCACCTCCCGTGTCACAGACTGAAGTGTGAACAGGTCTGAATGCTGCGGGTAAGGCTGAAACAGTCAAGTCATCTGAAATATGTGTCAAACACAGGCCCGGGGGCCAAATCTGGCCCGCAGTGTAATTATTTTTGGCCCGAAAGATCATATCAAATGTGTACTAGAGTTGGCCCGCCAGTATATTACCTCTATATACTGGCAGGATTTATAGGATTAGCAGTGTATGCGCCTTTTGGGGTTTTTTGTTGTTGTTGTTGTTGTTAGCCTGTGAAAAAAAGATTTACATAAAAAAAAATTTTTTTTTAAATGGCGTACCACCAGCGAACGTAACCAGAGTCGTCTTCCTCGTCAGAATGAGGGAATGAAGACTTTCTTACTCTGTAGGTTTTACTTTAATGAATCTTTGAAACACATTTTAACACTTTACTAAACTGATTGAATGTTTGAAGAGAACTGACCTTGATAAAAAAAAACCAAAATTCTCCAGAATTCTACTGCGAGGAACTCTTTGGTGAAAACATCACATTTTTTACGTGATTGGACTTAAGTGGAGAACACAATTTGGATATTTTTTTATACCGAAAAATCAATGTTCTTGCAATGTTTTGACTTCACTGAAAAACAAAAAATCAGTAAACTTGGCAACAGATACTGAAGGCTGCAGCTGCCACAGACAGACAATGGGACGTAGTGTCCTGTGTAGAAACTGTTTTGTTTTTCACTCATACTAATGTGATATGAATTAACAAATGAAAGTTTGTTTTGGATCCAAACCTGGTGCAAAGTCTCAATACCACCATTGTAGTTTGTTTATATTTCAAGATCAGAACAACCTAAAAAATAAAACTTGTCTGTGCAAAGACTACATTTAAAATTGTGAAATGTGCCTTGGAATGTCTTCCAGCTCGTGCTTGTTATTTATGCATGCTGCTACACAGAAATGTGTGCCCCGTGTGGCTGAACATTGTGAAAGGGAGCTAATGAGGAGTGACCTATGACCTCCAACATCAGTGATCTGTGGATCAGAGAGTCATTTATTGATCAGGTGAGACATTGTTTGACGTAGCGCTCCACTGCCAGAATGTGAGGCAGCTGTGAGCCAAATGTGGAGCAGAGTTTGGCCCGACACCAGGAAGTGTTACTCCTACCCCAGGCTCTGTCCAGATCAGTGTGATTGTGTTGGCACTGCAGTCATCTTTCCTCTATTCACATGTCAACTGCACCGCCGTCCAAAGGCTTAACTAAGCTAATCTAGTCAGCCGGAGGTCTTCTCCCACTGATTTCTTCGGGATCCGGACTGAAAGCTATGAACACATTGAAGTCACATAAGAGACAGCGCCGGGCCGTTCCTTTAACATTTGCATGAGAATGAATGGAGCATTTGCAGTACTTGAGGAAACTGAATCGCCTGTCTGTGCTGGACAAAAAGTCGGCCGAATGTGACAGAGAGCGAGAGAGAGAGAGCGAGAGAGAGAGAGAGAGGGAGTCTGATAGAGTCATCATTCCATTCCTTTGGCCGAGATGTCTTGGTTTTCTTTCAGACGATGTGTGTGTGTGTGTGTGTGTGTGTGTGTGTTGCTGCCAGGCTAAAGCAGATGTTGTAAATCACCCAAACCCTAGAACACAGGAGGCTCCAGACCAGCAACGGTCGAGACAGTTACAGGTTCTGAGGCGTGCTTGATGTCCCAGGAACACTGGGCTGTAACATGACTGAACAGCCGTTCTTTACAGCGCCACTAACGCCGGCAACATCCTGCAGCCACATCTCACATGAGAACAGCGTGAGTTATCTCTCCGCAATATGTGTACCTGCTATGAGCAGCAGCGCCGTGGGGGAATTCTACGGTATATGTGCTCGCCGTTGCACTTTGTGATCTATATTCAGCAATTTCGAGAGCAAAGACGATGCAGTGCTTCTCCCGCAGATAGTTAAGTGCTCGTGCATCCCTCTAGGGTTGCATGTCCCACAGCCAGCCTGAGGTTAAATCACACCAGACTCTCCCTCTCCTTCCTTCCTCCTGTACCGTCTGCTGCCGTACTCTCCCCACCTGCTAAATAAAAAATGAAAAGAGCAAAAGAAAACATGGTACTAAATGAAGCCTGCGACACTTTTGTAATCCTCACCGCTGCTGCTCGTGTCGACGTTGGACGTATTAGTTGCCGATGCCTAATTAACCATGTTGGTGTTGGTGTGATCTGTAAACAAACAAATCGTCACACGGACAGCGCGGGCTTTGTTTGTCAGCTGTTTGTTTGTGCATTCATGTTCCATCCACTTGTGATTTGTCTGAATGCACGCTCACACTCCAAACATGTTTTGTAGTTTCCCCAAAACAAACAGCGCTCCAGTGCTCCATGAGCAAAACAAATTGGAGCGCTCTGTACAAGAAAAGCTTGCCCCGGGGCGAGCCATTTTAAAATTAAAAGCATGTCTATTTGTTCACCCTCAGCTCAAGGATTGAGGAAAGCAATGTGCGCTGCACACTGAGGAGGAGACAAACGGCAGCAACACGGTGATTTTCTCAGCCCGAGAATCAAACGGTCTTTTATCTATTTCTCCCAATTGGAGGACATCCGGCAGAAATGGTGGGAGGATTAGATTAGCTGAGAGAGGAAGACAGAGAGTGTCTCCTCTAATCCTGGTGGGTTTTTCAGAGGTGTTCCCATCACTTTGGAGAAATGTGCAGAGGGAAGCTGGGACCAGGCGAGGCAGGCGCAGGACACTTTGCCTCACTAAACCCTTCACACGTGCATGAAAAAGTTTCCAGCAAACTGCGGGATTAGTCGGAGTGTAATTACACTCGCAGCGGCCGCAGAAATAGCACGACGTGATCTGTTTGGAATACACCTGAGAGGAATGAAAGGGAGGGAGGGGAGTTTCTGTGTCTGCTAATGTTGTGTCTGGGAATCCAGGAAGTGAACACCTTCTCATTAGTGCACTCCATGAAGAAAGTCTTTCACTGGACCACTGTAGATCACTGTCTGATCAATGGGCCGGCTTTATCCTGTTAGCTCAACCGCCTTTATGTTTGAACCAGGTTTGTCTTAACAACAGTCTTCACTCTTAAACCCACTCTCATCATCACGTTGGTCCCTTTTACTTCTGTGTAGGACGGCACAGCATGTATCGACGTGCATCGTAACTCATATTATGGCTCTTCACCTCTGAGCTGCGATGCACGTGCGGAGAGTCCACGTGATTGGAGCGACTACAAGGTTCAGTCGGTAATTCTCTACCACTGACTGTGAGGCCTGTAAAGGCCAACGTCGATGGAGACGTTTGCATTGCCAGACTCACATTTCTACGTGGGTCACATGACATAAAGTGACTAAATTTCATGCACTACTACAGTACCTGTCAGTACATAGTCCTAACCACTGTGCTGTGAGAGATCAAGAGAGGTGTGTTGTGGGAAATTAAATAGGATATACCTATACCTATATACATATATATTTATCATATATATATACAATATATGTATGTCTATGTCATTTTCTCTTGATTTTCCCCAGGTATAGTCAGCTGACCACAGCCCCACACATCCCAGTTAATCTTGGCCAATCCATAAGTTCCTGTTTTGATTCAGAATGCTCTCCTTTTTTGAGCCTGGTCTTTTTACTGCCTCTGTGTTTTCCCCCTTCTTCTAATCTGTAATCCTTCAGAGAAACAGCAGCTCACCTGTTTCCACTTCATCATCATCACCTCACACACATTCTTTGGCAGCTCATCCGTTCACTTGTTACCCGGCGTTGCCTGTTTGCTGTGTTTTTGTCCGCCTCTTTGTGGATTTGTTTGTCATCGTTTGGATTAGTTGTATTTACTTATTTGCTGGCGTGTCTGACCGGTCAAACTGTCTGCCTTTAAGCCCTGTTGTCAATTTATATCAACAAAACAGAAAAAAAAAAACAAATCCCAAACACATTCTTTTTCTTTTTGTTTTCATATTGGCTTTTTGTAGCTGTACTGCTTCCAGCTGTGAATTATTTAATATCTCACACGATAAGTTGTAGGTTAAATTTCTACAAAACACCTCGGAGCTGTTTTTGCAGAAGCTCCTGCTCCAAATATTAAACACTATAATTCTTATAGAGGCTGCTTCAACAGTGTGCAATAATTCTCTGGTGAAATTTTGACTGTGGCATCGGGTTAGTGGGAATCTGGGCCAGGATGTGATGTTTGAGACTCTGACAGTAACAAAATCATGTTTTTTTTATTTGGGCTTGACACAGTACATCTTTGTCATCGTATTACCCAGGTGCCCGAGGTGAAGCCCCGCAGCATGGCCAGTCTGGGACACTGCCTCGCTTCCTGGAGGAGCCTGTCGATGCATACATTGTGAAGAGTAACCCCATCAAGCTCCGGTGTCAGGCTCGTCCCGCTCTCCAAATCTTCTTTAAGTGCAACGGGGAATGGGTCCACCAGAGCCAGCACGTCTCTCAGGAGCACACCGACCTCGGAACAGGTACCAAAACCACACTGAATTTTTTTGAGCTAAAAATTCCAGAACTTATTCAGTTTGGCACCGCGTCTTGGAGCTTATCTCATTCAAAATCATTCTTTTTTTGTTATCAATAATCTGCGTAATATGTTTTGCGTCATATTTCTAAATCAGATACAGATCAGGTTTGTCAGGTCGACTACAGTACTGCATGTTACAGAGATTTGATCAGTGGAGAAAATGCCTGGAATCTGTGGCTGTAAACATGCGAGTGAAAATGCAGACTCCGTCTTCCAGAGAGACTCAGAGTCAGAATTTAGGCCTGATGAATTCTGACACTGTCATCAGGTATACGCCTGGGCTGTCAGTCAAGAAGAAATCCATTGATGGAAATCCTGCTCATTCAGTATATTGAAGTAGTCAGGTGACCTTATATTCAGGGAACACAATGTTACCATGGCGAGATCTGTCCAAACGGAAAAAAAAAAAAAAAAAAAACCCAGATAATAATCCTGTTCCAAATGTCTCATATTGTAGGCACCAAAAATAACGAGCAATTGCTTCATTTGCCCCTTTTCTCGCACCGAGGCTGACAGTTGTTTGCTTTGCATAATGAAGAACAAGGCATGGTTATTTAAGAAAATGAGAAGCTACTAACGACATAATAAGTCGTAAATACCCTGTCGTCAGGCGAGACAAACATTTTTAGGCAGTGAGAAGAGTTAGAAAAGAAAGTCTGTAACCAAGACCATCTAGGAGCGGCTTCTACTGAGGACAGACTCATCAGAAGAAAACCTCGTAGGCTACTCATACATTTTGACGGCCAATTATGTTTGAGTGTTTGACCAATTTGTTTTTAGTCAGTAGTGCTTTAGTTTTTGTTGATGTAACACAGGAGCGGGCCACGATTGGTTGTAAAATTTGACAGGGGGGCCGGGTCAGGAGCAGATGGAGCGTTCGTGTGAACTAAGATAAATGACATGTAAAAAATCGTGCATAAAGGCTTAGCCTTCTCTACGCCATCTACAGGGTTTTACTGACAATTAATTTAAACATTTGGAAAAGTCATATTTTTTCTTTAGTCCAACCTGGTTGTGTTTGATTTAGGAAAGTTGATTTATTTCAGTTAGTCATAATTAGTCATGAATGTTTAGACGTCATTAAGGGATTAGGGTTCATTCAAGGCTGTACAGTTACTGTGTGTTTGAGCTACAAACAGACACGCCACAATCCTAACTCTGCTCTTGTCACTCTTCCATTGTACCACATCACAAACAAGATGTAACTGTCAACCTTCATGTCCTTGAGTCTTCAGAATAAACCCACCAAATAGGACTTTTATTTTTATTTTCTTTTAAAAGCCTTAATGTCATTCCAGGCCTCTGAACAAGAACTACGTCTCGTATTGACTGCATACTGTGTCACAACAGATCTAAACTGAAACGACAACAGTTTCAGCATGAAAGGCATCAACTTGCTATCGACTTTGAACTCCAAACGCTGCCTTTTACTGATGCAACACGCAGAAAGCAGTTGTTGTTGTTTTAACTTCAAAATGATTCCTTTCAAACCTCATTCTTCCTGATTTCTTTTTTTTTTCATTCTTCCTGATCCTGACCGTTGACTGTATAAAAAGAGAACAGTCGGGAGGGTACACACACACACACACGCAGAGACACGCTGCACTGACAAGAGCTGGGTTTAAGATACCTGAAGACATCTGAGATCAGTTTCACTTTGTAAAGACACAGATGCTAAACCTCTGTTGGGTTGTGTTCAAGGCTACTGATGTCAGCGACTGCTAATATGACAAACAGTGGAGTCGCTCCTGGAACTGTGGTGTCGTTGCATTTTATTATTTACTCACCAATCAAAATGAAGACGCTTCTAAGATATGGAAAAAAAAAAAAAAAAAAAAACGTCTGAGAATTTCCACTCTAATATTTAGTCCCGGGACTGTTTGGATCATCACTCTTATTTGAGAGAAAATATTTATTATTCTGCCTTGGCTGCGATTAGTGCACTGGTGTTGACGCTTCACTTAACACAAAGCACCAGTCAATATCTCCCTCCAGAGTTAACAGTGGATATCAGTGAATTTTTACTGCCTTCAGTCTAGATTTATAGCTTCACTCCCTTTTGGCTCCTTATCACCGATCATATCAGTCCCCCCTGGGAAAGACAAAAGACAAAAGAAAGAAGTGAGAGTGAGAAAATAAAATATAGATAGAGAGTGTCTGAAAAAAAAGAAGGAAAAAAAAGTCTTCTTCGCTAATGTCTCATAAAGTTGAAAGCTCTTTCTGGGCTTGTGCCATGTCAGGATGGGTCCTAACTACAGGCTATTGGAGAGAATGAAAAGATAAAAATGTTATGAGCTTTTATTGTAACCTTGACCTTCACTAAAAGCTCAAGACCTTCACAGAAATAGATTAGGATTAAAGACTGAGAAAGTGAGTTAGCTGAGTTAGCTTTAACACACGTTTACAGGTTGTTTTGTGTTGTGTTCAGCGTTCTCAATTATAACTAAATGAACTATAAATAACAACTAGTTCATGTATTTTCCCTTTTTTTATGAACACACGTTTACAGGTTGTTTTGTGTTCAGCGTTCTCAATTATAACCAAATGAACTATAAATAACAACTAGTCCATGTATTTTCCCTTTTTTTATTCTTGATATTTATTATTATTATGTATTAATATTTAACGAAATATAATTACAAAAACATTCTGAACATGAAGCGTTTGTTTTTTGTTTTTTTTTCAAACTTTATCAAGAGGACCAAATTGAGCACCCTAGCAGGCCATATGTTTGACTGCTTGAATGCTGTAGAAATTGATCCTAGTGTACCGAGTAATACTTAGCCAAGCTGCCACAGGCTTCTTTTAATTAAACTACGTTTCCATAGCATTAAAATCACCAACAAAGTTCAGCAAATACTAATTAAGCAAATCTGCAAAACATAGGAGAGCGTCCGCAGACTCTAAGAAGCTTACAACCTTCTCAATAATAATAATGGTGTGTGTGTATGGTGTGTGTGTGTTTGTGTGTCAGACACTCTTAGTTTTAAATATGCGGTTTTGGATATCTATATGAGTTGAGCCAATGGTTTCTTGACCAGCCGTACTCTGACGACTGCTGTGATTGGCTACAGTTCCAGCTCCGGCTACACGACCCTTTAAAGGGTTAATTGCTGGAAGATAAATAGATGGAGACACAGATTGAGAAATTGCTGTAACACCTTCCAAACTAAATTGGAGCCAGATGTTGTTTACCAACACAGTGTGACATCACTCTGGTTTCGCCTTTATTTCAACCACTTGTCAACCCTAAAAAGAATGAAGCACCTTAAGCACCATAAAAAAGTAAATAAAGTACCAAGTTGTAAAAGAAACACTAGTGAAAAACAGCATTTAGTCATTGTCATCGTGACCCAATATGGTAAACAGGACTAAGTGTCTGGATATGCTCGCACTGAAGCTAATCACACAGACCAATTAAACCTGGAGCAATTTGACACAGTGTGAGTGTTTGTTGATTACACAGGTCAAAAAAGAAGAGGTTTTTTTTTTCATAGGTAATGGAGAAAATCTTTACCAGACCAAGTAAAAGCAGAAAAATAACAACTTAAATTAACACACCATTAGCCTCGTGGCTAATTTGCTTCAGTCATATTTTAGTCTCCATTAAAAATATACTTGTGTGAAAATATATGAAACATTTTTTGTTTAAGCTCTAACATTTAGGTTGATATGTGAACATTTGTTCACAGTGTATCAGCAGTGTTAGGAGAGAAAAGCTCAGGTGAAATTGCAATTTGGGCTAGTTAGCCAACTTTGCTAACACTATGCTTTGCTATTGCACTCTTCAGAGCTAACAAGAAATCTCTGTTTCTAAAAAGGCTAAGAAAATGGATCAACTTTGAAAAGACTAGGTTCACTTACTTAATAAATAATAACATAGCTAATAGCTAGCTAATAGCTATAGCTACGCTCTCCCTTGCTTCCACCACTGCTGTACGTCCCATCTTCATGTCCTCTTCTCTCAGACAGTTAATCATCTGTAGAATGGTCCTCATTACCCCCAGGTCTGGCAGCTCCATTCTTCTTCTCGTCAAATGTCCAAACCACTCCAAACTTATTTTCAATTTTTATCTCCAAACTACTCAACACCGGCGTCTTCAACCTGCAGCTCAGCGTCTTGTCATTTAGACAGCAACCCTGTCTGGGCTGGTCAATCAAACCCTCACTGTGTTTATTCTCCTGTCCCTGAGAAAATCTTCTGAACTGTAACAAAATAATTTGTTGAAGAAAAGTTAAAAGTTTATAAAAATGATAATGTGTTTAATGAAAAATGCTGCACTCAGTAACAAAGCCACAGAGAATAAGTCCTTTATTTACAGTCTGGGAGTCTACAGCGCCGCTCAGGCCTTATTGTCACTGGTCTCTGTGTTACTTTTTTTCTGTTACTAGCAGTCAGCAAAAGAAGGAGAGGAAAAAAGTGAACTCCGCTGTGACACAGTTTTTACTCTGGGAAAGAAATGACATCATGTTTTGAAGTTTTCTGTTTGTTTTCATGGGTAAATGTGTTGTATTTGTAAGCAGAAACCTAATTCAGTAACACTGAGGTAATGCACCAGATATAACTGTGCTAAAGCCTGTTTGAGAATGAAGGCACATTGTTTATATATTAAGACTCTATGACCTGGCAGACTGGTGTTTCAACACAGTCCAAAAACACCACAGGGATATTGTTTCTTCCTATGGCCAACATGATTTATTTAAAACCAGTAATTGACTTTTTGTTTATTTTTAAATGTATTTGAGGCTGATGTACAGCATAATGTGGCCTCATTTCTGGGTGTTTATCATTGGATCAAATAGAAAAAAATGTTATTTTTATAAAGCCACATTTAGACAAGACAAATGGTCTTCGGATTTTGATTAGTTTATAGTTCATGGTAATACCCATGGGACAACATTATCCCATATGACACCTGCTTCGAATGAAAGATGGCGCCACCT